CCACTGCAAGCTTTGCCTCTGAGCTAGTTATCCAGCCCAGAGCTGGTTCCCCTTGTCCCCAGGCATGCGAACATGGAAGCCGGCCCCAATCCAGAGAAAGCCCCGCAGTTAGAAATTGGATGTATCTTTATTTTTTCCATTCCCCAATCCATAGTTTTTCTCTTGTCCAAATACAATCCCACACTTCCACAGCCTCTCTTTCTCTTCCTTTGTCTCTCTGTAGAAGGGAATCGCTCCCCTCCCTTCCTACCCTGTCTGTTTTATCTCTCCCAGTTCACAATCATGCACCTATGGCCAGCCAAGTTGTCCCCATCGACCCTGGAAACGTCTCTGTCACTCTGCAGCCCGGACTGTTGGAATTCCAAGTCTTCTGACCTCAACACTGCTGTGTTTGAAGGACGAGGGAACTTCAGGTCTCCGCCTTGTTGACTGGCAGCCTGATTGATTTTTACTTGCCTGATTGATTTTTATTTAAATTCTAGTTAGTTTACATACAGTACAATATTGGTTTCAGGAGTTTATATGTTTTTAATTTGGGTTTGTGTATGCTCAATGTTAGGACACAGAAATTCAGTGAGTTTTCATCTGTCGATCTTGCCTCCTGCCATCTTGCTGAACTCACTCATTAGTTCTGGAGGGGTGGGTTGCCATGCTTGGCCTCTTAAGCCTGTGCCATCCTTGAGTTAAGTCCCATAGCTCCTCTCTCTTGGCACCACTTTTGCCCACATGTAGCCACGGAGTGGTTCTGCCGTGGGGTGGGTTGTCTGGGCTCCCAGCTTTGAGTGTATCTGCAATGAGTGTGTGGTGACCTTGCTTGGGCCTTCTCCATCAGTTGGGTAATTCCTAGATTTATGTAAGATGAAAACTTTTGACTTCACTTGCCTGCAGACCAGCTTCTTGTAAAAGGACCCACCTGGAACTTTCCTGTGTCTCCCTTCGTCTTTTGGGCTTATTTCTAGGACATGCTTACAAATGGGTTATAAGTATCTATTTGTTTTCTTTCCCTCAGCTTTTTAGTATGAAAAACTAACTGCATAGAAAAGTTGGCATAATATATACTGATCACATACCACAACCTTAATTTGACAGTTTTTTAAAAAAATTTTTAATGCTTATTTATTATTTTGAGAGAGAGAGAGTGCAAGCAAGGGAGGGGCAGAGAGAGAGGGAGACACAGAATCCAAACTAGGCTCCAGGCCCTGAGCTGTTAACATAGAGCCCAATGCAGGGCTAAAAATCATGGACCATGACATCATGATCTGAGCCGAAGTCAGAGGCTTAACCGACTAAGCCATCTAGGTACCCCCTTAATTTGACAGTTTTTTACAATACAGTATGTGCTCTATTTTTTGTTTATACCTTTCTTTGTATCTCTCTTTGTGTGTGTGTTTTCAAGCCATTTGAAAGTAAGTGACAGATATAGTGATACTCTGCTCCTAAATATTTCACAAGCATCTTCTAAAAATGAATGCATCTTCTACCTAACCACAGTACTGCTGTAACACCTGAGAAACTTAATCGTAATTACCTAATGCTGTCCAATATTCAGACCATATTTACATTTTTCTATAATTATTCAAAATTATCTTTGATTGTAAATTTTTTGGAACTAGGACCCAGCTGAGGGTATTGAACTGTCAATGCTGTCCTGGTGGCAGAAGACAGCCACTTTATTGTGCTCATGGAACCTGTGGGTCAGGGATTCAGACAGGGTATGGGGCAGATGGCCTGCCTCTTCTCCACGTCCCTGGGGTTGGAGAGTGGACAGCTGTGGTGACCCAGAAGCCAGGGCTGGAATCATCTGGGAGCTCCTCTCCATGGGGCTGGGAGGGAGTGTCACAAAGAGGCTTTCAGGGGCGCTTGGGTGGCTTAGTTAGTTAAGCGTCCGACTTTCACTTAGGTCATGATCTCGCCATTCGTGGGTTCGGGCCCCGCGTCGGGCTCTGTGCTGACTGCCAGCTCAGAGCCTGGAGCCTATTTCAGAGTCTGTGTTTCCCTCTCTCTCTGACCCTCCCCTGCTCACGCTGTCTCTCTCTCTCCTAGAAATAAATAAAAATATTTAAAAAAAAAAAAACACAACAAAGAGGCATTCAGGTAGCAAGTGTTCCAGGAGGACCACAGGCAGGCACAAGGCTTCTGATCTCAGAAATCGCTCCATATCACCTCCCCCAGACCACGCAGATTGGTACAGGGAGGGACATAGGCTCATCTGGGTGGGTGAGTATCCAGTTCATACTACAGAAGGGGATGTGGGATGAGAGATGCCTTTGAGGCCGTCTTTGGAAAATATGGTCTCCCTGCTGCTATGTGTCTTTAGTCTTTTTAACCTGGAACACCTGATTCACCCCCAAAGCTGTTTGAAGAGACCTGGCAGTTGTCTTGTAGGCCACCCCCCCCATTCTGGATCTGTCCAGCTGTTTCCTAATAGTGTCATTCAGTCTGCTTCTCTGCCCCTTATGCATCTTATAAACTGGAAACTAGGCCTAAAGACATGATCACATTCAGAGTAAGTGTGTTTAGCACAGACATCCATTTCTTTTCTTTTTTAAAAATTTTTTTAACACTTATTCATTTTTCAGGGAGAAATGGAGTGCAAGTAGGAGAGGGGCAGAGAGAGAGGGAGACACAGAATCTGAAGCAGGCTCCAGGCTCTGAGCTGTCAGCACAGAGCCCGACAGAGGGCTCGAACCCATTAGCCATGAGATCATGACCTGAGCCAAAGTCAGATGCTTAACCGACTGATCACCCTAGGCGCCCCCATCCATTTCTTTTAAAATGTGATCAGGAGACAACTGCTAGTGTCTCATTCGCCTTCTGCAGTAAAACTCAGATGAGTGTAAGTTAGAATTCAGAAGGTGATAGCTCATCAGTTAACCATCCAACTCTTGATTTCAGCTCAGGTCATCATCTCATAGTTTGTGAATTCGAGCCCCACGTTGAGCTCTGTGCTGACAGTGCATAGCCTGCCTGGGATTCTCTCTCCCTTTCTCTCTGGCCCTCCCCTCCTCATGTTCCACTTCCCCTCCTCAAAATAAATAAACTATCTTTCGGAAAAAAAAAAAAAGAATTAAGGAGGTGATGGACACAGATACTAAGAGACAGTGGGTACCCCACTCTTCCAGTGGGATGCCCTGAGGGGGACACGGCAGCACCTGCGTGGAGTTCTGGTCACAGGCATCTCCTGAGCCTAGTCACAGAGAGCATCAGGCAGGCCTCAAATGAGGAACTGTTGAAGGGGAGAGGTGGAGAAGTACTCTATCTGTCAGAATTTTCAGTGTTATACATGACAGAGGCTATGGAAACATCTCAAACTCAAGCAGGCTAAAACAGCCTGACATAAAAAGGCACTACCTGAGCTGGACCAGAAGGAGTGCTCCAATGGTTGTAAGGGGCCAGTTGACAAGACTGGGAGGCAGGTGGTGTGATTCTTGTCCTGAAGCCAGAGGTGCATGGCAGCCATGTGAAAACACACTCACCTCCTTAGGAAACATGTAGTGCAGGGCCACGCCTCAGAAAATCGTCTTGTGTGTGTGTACACATGTGTGCACATACATGCAGAGAGTGCCAGCCACAAAGCACATGAAGAAATCCTGTCAACTGGTGAGCCTGGATGAAGGCCAATGGATGTTCCCTGTAATAGCCTCCCACCTGTTGTATGAGATTGAAATTATTTCCAAAGACTAAATGCTAAAAGTAAACAGAAAAAAAATTAGCTGAAGGAAGATTCCATTTCTGGCTATTAAAAAAATCAAGGCTGAAGTAAGGGAACAGTGCTTGTTAACTCTACTGGAATTAAAATTTTAAAAATCATAAACCATTATGGAAAAAAATCAAGGCTATCCTCAGAGAATAAGATGAATGCCAATACTGAAAAATAACTTTAATTTTCACAATAAAATGTAATAAACACAAGAGATTTCCATACCAGATGCAACAACCATGAGCTTATGATGTGTTGATAATACCTCTCCACCCTCAGTTTTGAGGTTTTTAAGGATAGGATGAGGTGACAGTCTATTTACAGAGAATAGAGGAAGCAGTCATCACGAGAAAAATGTGTGAACTCACTAAGCTTGAATAATCCAAATTGAAACAACTTCAAGGTTCCATCATCTGCTTCTCAGATCCTCAAAAACATAAAAATGAAATGGTTGTTAGCACAGCCCTGGGGAGAGTGTGTGTGTGCATTGCCAGTAGTGCTAAAAACAGGTTCAGAGAACCCCACTCTGCCAACACCCAGGGCTGCTGACAGTCGGCTTCGAGAGTGGACTGTTGTGGGAAAAAAAAGAAAATAAGCAAAAGTGTGATTTATATGAGGATATTCACAACAAATAGTTGAAAGTAACTGGCATTTCCACAGGGAGATTTGTAGGGGCAAGTCCAGCTCATGGCGCATTCAGTTACCTACCCAGTGGACATCTGTTGTGCATCCACCATCTGTTTGGCAGTGGATGCTGGGAAAAAGTAGAATATACAGTTTAATCACCACCTGCACCCTGTTGAAAGATATGTTTAGGTGTTTAATGACAAAGATCAGATCATGACCTGAGCCCGTTTTGCGGAGATTCATATACTTCAAGTTTAATTAGGTGTTTTCCTTCAGAATACTTAAAATAATAATTGGATATTACCATGAAAGAAATGACAAACATATGGAAGATCTTCAGAGGAGTTGTTTGGATGTTCTTGATCCAAACCACCCCTAACGGTCGAGATATGTCTCATTTCCTGAAGGGAGTGGAGCAAGTTTTCACATCCTAGGCACTATGGCCATTTGGGGTGGAATCAGTCCTGCTGGGCATGGATGCTGGGCATCTCCACAACTACATGCCATAGCCGTCCCCTGCCCAGCTCTGATAACCAGAAATGTCTCCAGACATTGCCAGATATTCCTTGGGGAACAAAATCAGCCCTGATTGGGAACCACTGGAATGATCTGAATTGAGCTGCTGGTTTAAAAAAATAACTTGTCACCTATATTTTAACCCTTTATGCTCCAGAATCAGAAATGTGAGGATGAACTGTCCCAGCTCAATCATAAGGTCCTTCAGCTAGGAGAGGAGGCCTCTATCCACCAAGCCCAAGACAAGAAGAACCACATGAACATTCAGCTTTTAACACAGAGATTGGAGGAGGCCAGGCACCAGGACGAGCTGCAGGTGAGTAGTCTAAAACATCAGGAACAGCCTTATAATGCTTGGAGGTAGGCTTACCTCTCAGGTAAATAGGGGAACTTAACAAGTACGTGCTCTGGAAAATTTGTAGACTTCAGGAGCTTTGCAAATTCTCAATATCTGAAAAAAGTAGCAGAAAAGGATTAAATCCTGATGCTAAGAGAATAAATTGGTAGACCTCTCTGGAGAACATGTGGGCAAAATACTGATCAAGCACCTCAAGAATGTCAGTATGCTCTGACTTTATAATTCTACTTATGGGAATTTTATCTGAGCATCGTGGACAGACTTAGCTGGAAGTGTTTTCATTGCTGTGGTATTTATAATAGCCAAACAGAACTGGAATCAGCTTGAATCATCAATAATACTGAATGAGGCAGTAGATTATGGTGCAGTCATTGAAAATCATGTTTTCCAATATTTAACGTCATGGGGAAATGCTCAAGATATATTGAGGAAAGTACAACATATGATACTGTACCAGTGTTATCTATAGAGACACATGTATGGAAGAAGGGCTGAGATCATAGCGCAATGTTGGAATCATGGGTGGTTTAAATTTTGTCATTTTTGCTTTTCTGTAAATTTCTGAAATTTCTGCATTAAACATGTATCTGACTGATGGGGTGCCTGGGTGGCTCAGTTAGTTAAGTGTCTGACTCTGGATTTTGGCTGACGTGATCTCATGGTTCGTGAGATTGAGCCCCCGTTGGGTTCTTGTGCTGATAGTATGGAGCCTGCTTGGGATTCTCTCTCTCTCTCTGTCTCTCTCTCTCTCACTCTCTCTCTCCCTCTTCCCTCCCCCCTCTTTCTCCCTCTCCTCCCCTGCCCCTTGCTTGCTTGCACACTTTCTCTCAAAATAAATAAACTTAAAAGAAATAAGTAAACATGTAACAGACTGCTGAGATATTCTTGTACTTGTGAATTAATTTTTTCTAAACAGAGTGAGCAAATCCAAAAACTTGAACTTGAACTTGAACACATGAATCAGGAATGTCAGAACCTGAGACTGTCACAGTCACAGCTGAGAGAGACCCTTGAAGAAAGTCAAAACCAGGTGGGTGTACATAATGACCAGTGGCTGGGTCTCAGCTGGGAGGAAAGTCAACACAGTTTAGCACTGACAGAGCCTTGCCAGGACTAATCTGGCCCAGAGAGGTTATTGGGCTGGCCTTAAGTTACACAGCTGCTCAGGCACTTACCAGGCCCGGGACTAAAGTTGAGGCTAGTGCAGGGTTGATTGACTCTGAGCAGTCGGTGGGCAGAGCTGTGCTTCTGCTTATGTGCAAGAGGAGGAGGCTGATTATCAGTGCTTTTGGCTGCACCAGTTGCAAAAGAGAAGAGCAAAGGAGAGCTGCCGATGGCTTCTGAGGAGGCGGGTGTTGTCAGATCCAAGGACATGAAGTGGAGTAATCCTTGGGGTTAGCAAGCTCAGTGTGCCCGTCTTGCACCCACACAGGCTTATGTGTGCACAGGATCCCTGAAATTGCATACATGTGTGAGTGTCGAGCTCCTGCCTCCCACTTTCTCTCCTGCTCCAGCATTTATCTAGTGCACCAGGCTCCAAAGGTGCAAAGTTAGGGAGGTGGAGAGCTTGCAGTCTTGGACAAGCAGATGTGAGCAGGACAGGCCAAGTAGGGATGTCATGATGCCCTGACAGCATGGGGTGCAGAGACATGAGAGAAGGGGAGCTGGTACTTCCTGGGGGAGCAGGATGAGAGAATGGCAGGTATGTGGCGGCTCAGTGTGCAGTCAGATGTGTGTTGAGCTTAGAGGGCTGGGAGCTATAGGAAGAAAAGAGGGGCCATGGGAGAAGCCTCCCAAGCAGTGTGGAAGAGGTCTTTAACCCACTGGCCTGTGGCCCAGGGCCCTCACTGGAGTGTGGCACCTGCATGCCTCCCTCCTCTGAGCATCTTTACAGACTCCCTGACTGGCCCCAGACTTCACAGCTGGACTTGGCTATGGGATCCCCCTACATACCCAGAGCCTTATGACGTGCTGTTAGGGACTCATGTGGGTGCCCAGCCTTCCCACTGCAAACAAGTGCTCTCCCAGGGGTGCCTCTGAGTATTTGGGGGTTCCCTTCTCTGTGTTTAAGTCTGAAAGGAACCTTGAGAAATTATATTGACCAGCTTGAGCCCTTTGAGTCCAGGAGTCAGCAGTCAGCCTTAGTCAGCCTTTGTCACGTGCAGAATGGACCTTACTTAAGCTGTCCTCTTGTGATGGGAGCTGGTTCCCCCTTATTATTTAGAAGAGGAACCCCCAAAACCACTGTGAAGAAAGTTCATATGAGGGACATAAGAGGAGCCTGCAGGGTACTTAAGGATCCTCTGGACAACCATGGTAGGGTGGATGTGGCACCACGTGGGAGGAGCCAGTGTTGTCACAGGCACAGTTGTGGGTGGTTTTGAGGAGGATCACCCAGGAGGTCAAAGAGAGCAGATTGGACAGGTACAAGCAGGGGAGCAGCTCAAGTGGGGCCATGAGAGGTCCTGGCAGAGGGATTTCACACAGCTCAGGGAGAGGTGCATGGAAGCACAATGCTGTATGCATCACATGTCCTTGGGAGTGCCCGTGTTGGTTTGTATTGCAGCATGTCAAACCACCCCCAAACTTGGTAGCTTCTAGCACTGTTCATCATTATCCTTCATGGTCTTTGGGCTCACTGGCACAGCTGGACTGTTTTCACTTGAGATCTCGGGGCCATTGTAATCACATGAGGTTGGGGCTAGCGTCATCGGGATGCACAGCTGGTTCAGATGTTCGAGAGGCCTCAGCTCGCAGGGCCGGCATGTGGTGTTGGCTGGTGGCTGAGGGCCTGAGTGTACTCTCAGCTGGAGCACCCACACCTGGCCTCTTGGTGGCATGGGGCTGTCTGAGCATAGCAGTGAAGTTCTGAGAGGAGAGGTGACCAAGCACCCTTAGAGGAGCATACAGAAGCTGGCAGTCTTCTTAGGACTGTGTTAGGGCATTCCAGAACATCATTCGCCTGACATTTTGTTGGTGCAGCTTAGATTCAGGGGGAGGGGACAGAGCCTACCTGTCCATGAGGGGAGGACACAGTCCTCACCTGTCCATGTGGGGAGCACACAGAGCCCACGTCTCCATGAAGGAAGGGCACATAGCTCACCTGTCTATGGGGGGAGGACACAGTCCTCACCTCTCAGTGCAAGGAGAGCACAGCTCCCATCCCATGAGGGGCAGGAACAGCAGCTTATGAGCTCATGTGGGAGCAGCTGATGGCTGAGGTAGCTCACTTCCATGCCCCTGCTTCCAGAACACAATGACTTTTATTTCCTGGCTGTGGGCAGCCCCAGTGCTCTCTGGGGACATCCTTCCCTTGTCATGTGATAGTGGAGCAGGGGTCCCCAGAGCTGGCCCAAGTACCAGCCAGAGTTTCAATTCTACGAGGAGGGAGATGAGGAGAGCTTGGGAGGAATTCAGCTGGGATGGTATTATGGGCTGCTTGCCCTGATCAGGGAGCCACAGGGCAGAGTCATAGACACAGACTTCATGCTAGGCCACACAGTGGCCTCCCCCCAGGAGCTTGCACCAGGCCTCAGCGTTCAGAGCAGAGGGATAGCTATAGTGGATAGCAGCAAGGGGTGTGGGAACAGTGTGTTCTAAGGAAGAGGGGCATCAGGGTGTTGGAGAGCATTGTCAGAGAGCAGGAACACCTTTGGGATTGGTGGGCATTCTGTTATGGAGTCACAAGGGCCTAGGCTGAGGCTCGACTTCCATCTGGGATGTCTGAGGATAACTGTCTGAAGCGTGAAATTTAGGAGGCGGCTATGTTTATGGGGGTGTGTTTTAGAATCTGTTCTCCCCTCTCTCTTCTCTATCCCTCTTTCTCAAGGTTCGCAGACCAAGTTCCAATGTGCAATTATCAGACACCAGCAGGATGTCTCAGAATTCAACTCCATTCTGACACTCTGCCTGGAGACAGCATCAGACCCCACAGTTAAGGGTTAAGGGTTTAGTCCTACAACACTACCCACTACCCCCATCTCAGAAGCCACTTGTACACCCTAGGGTGTTAGCTGTGCTTCTGACCAGCCAGCTACAGATTGGATATTTCAACCACCTCCTCCTGAGGTTTGACTAATTTGCTAGAGTGGATCACAGAACTCAGAGAAATACTTAACATTTACCAGTTCATTAAAAGATATGATAAAGAGGGTTGCCTGGGTGGCTCAGTCAGTTAAGCGTCTGACTTTGGCTCAGGTCATGATTTCACAGTTTGTGAAGTTGAGCTCCGTGTCAGGTCTGTGCTGACAGCTTGGAGCCTGGAGCCTACTTCAGATTCTGTGTTTCCCTCTCTCTGCCCCTCCCCTGCTCGTTCATGCTCTGTCTCTCTCAGAAATAAATAAACATTAAAAAAGAAGAAGAAGCAGCTCACAGAGCAGCAGGACTTATTAAAAAAAAAGGATATGATAAAGGAAAGAAATCAATAACCAGAGGAAGAGATACATAGGGTAGGTCCCAAATATCTGTCTTCATGGAGCTTGAGCCCCAGCCTGGTGGTACATGGAAGTGTTCCCATTCCTCAAGCATAGAAACTCTCCAAGACAGGCACCAAACAGGTGTTCTCTTGGGTTTTTATGGAGGCTTCATTATATAGTCATGACTAAGTCATCAGCCATTGGCTGAGTCAGCCTCCAGCCCCTCTCCCCTCCTGGGAGGTTAGGGACTAGGACTGAAAGTTCCAAGCCTTAATCACGTGGTTGTCCCTCCTGGCAGCCAGCCCCTGCCCTTGGGTGCAAGTCAAAAGTCACCTGAATAATGAGACACCTATTTCACCTCTGTGGCTCTGAAGCATTTTTAGGATCTGTGGATGAAGACCAGATACCTCTCATCTTATAAATCATTATATTGTACTCTTCCAAAAGAGCATAGTAGCTGTCCTGGAAACTCTGTGCAGGTGTGTTTCTCTGGGATGACTCCTGTCCTAAGAACAGCCACATATGATAGTGATGACATGGCCCCCTAAAACAGCCCCTCAGAGATGCATGGGGACACAGCAACCTGAGCTCTGCATCCTCACTGTTGCCCTGGAGTAGCCATAGCTGGCACCCTCCCTGTCTTTGCCCATATGGCCACCTCAAACCTGTCCTAAGTGTGACCCTTGGTGGAGCTTCCTCCCTCTCCCATCTATGGGGCCTCAGAGGTGTGTGAGGGCTGACACAGCAAGTTCTTTTAGGGTGCCAAGGAAATTCTGTGTATTCTAGGTGAATCCTCCAGAATCGAAATGATTTAAATTGTGTTTAATAAAAGGATTGGCCACGTTACTCACAACTCCAGTGAAATCTTGCCATCCACTGTGGTTGGGGAGCCAGGGGCTGGGGTGGTTCTGCATCTGTTGCCAGGGTCCCTTTGGCCTTCATCGTATGTTCCGTTGCTCTCTGTGGCCCTGACCTCAGCTGTCTCAGGAGTCTGAGTTCTCTGCTTAAAGGAAAATCACAGTGCATGGCCTGCATGGATTATACTTGTTAAATAGACTCCATGAAGTTTGCTGAAAGGTAAACTGAACAGAGTATAGCATGATTCTTCCATGGATGCAGCAGGAAGCCTCAGCATCACCACTTTGAGAATACAGACCTGAGTCTTCCTGACTCTCTCTGTGTAGAAGCTCTGCCTAAACCAGAATTTGGCTGTCATAATACAAATGAATGGGTTCTTTATGAACCTCACATGTAGCTGCAGATGCAGAGACTAAGGAGTAAGGATGCCTTATGTACCCTTCCATGTGTAGGGTATCTGAAGCATGCAGTTTTGCATGTCTGGTAATGACCCCGTAGCTCTCACACCAGCACTTTCATGGCCTTCTCCCTGGTGCAGCTGCATGGAGCCAACCTAAGGCTAAGGCTGGCACAGTCCCAGCACTCAGAAGAGGTCCACCAGCTGCAGGAGCAGATGCAGTGGCTGGTGCCTCAGGATCGCATGGCCGAGCTGCAGCACCTACTAGAAGAAGAGCGGCAGGTGGCTCAGCAGCTCCGTGACGAGTGCATTCTCCAGAAGGAGAAGGGGAGGCGGCTGGAAACACAGTGGGTAAGTGGGGACAAGGACCCTGAGGCCCAGCTGATGGTGCCAGGGGTGGAGAGATTGGATCACTGATCACTCAGCCAAAAACTGCCATCCCAGCTCATAGAAATCTGGTTATACTGCAACTGCAGGCCCCTGATTTTCACTGTGAACAATGCGGGACTCTAACAGGGGCCAAAGATCAGGGGCGCCAAGCGTCTTGGGGAAGGTATCCCCCACACCCTCAGAATGATGAGCCAGCTGCCCAAAGAGTCTCTCCAACATGGGGGCTAAGGTCCACCCAGACAGTTTGTCTTTGACGGCTGCACGTGACTGTGGTAGGCCACATGGCTAAATGTTAGGGACCACACACTCAAAACTGCTTACAGGCCCAAAAATGTGGTGATACAGAGATCATGAGGAAAGCTGTGGGTGGCGGCCCTACCCATGTAGCCCTGTGGAAGCACAGACCCTGTGTGCCTGTTCTCCTGATTTCAAAGGAAAGCCAGAAACTAGATTTTTACAGAAACATTCCCAGTTTCCAAATGATGCATCTAATTTAAAAAGAATCTTAAACCATTTTGCAGACTGAAGAAAATCTACCCACAGGCACACAAAGACTGCAGAAGTTTTTTATTTGGGTGCACACTGATCTAGGTACCAGAGATACAGAAACAGACACACAAGGCAAAAGCCTATGCCCTCCTTGGTCCTATATTCTAGTGTGGTGGGGAGACAAATGAAAACATGGTTATAAGGATAGCTTGTCAGATGGTGATGAGTTGGAGTGCTGTGGAGTAGGATGGTGGCCGGAGAAGGCTTTCAGGAGTTGAGGGAGCAAGCCATTCACTTATCTGGGGGGAGTTCTACAAGTAGCAGGAGCAGCATGTGCAAAGACCCTGAGGTGGTTAATGTACTTGGCATATTTAAGAATAGCAAGGATGAGAGGGAGGCAGGAGAAGGGTGGTGGCACACACCTGGGGACCCTGGCTATCCACCAGGCACTGCATTAGGCATCTACAGAAATAGAAACAGAGTTGCTGCCTCGAAGGACAGGAGGACATTGTGGCTTAGGGTACGGACTGCCGAGATTGGGATCCAGGCTCCACCATCTCCCAGCTGAGAGGGACCTTGGCCAGTTACTTAACTTCTCTTTGCTTCAGTTTCCTCACCTGTAAAAGTTGGGTGCCAGTGGTTCCTACTCAGAGCATCAATGTGAGGCATCAGTGAGTAGACACTTGTAAAATGCTTGAATAGTCTAGCATGTGTGTATCCTACTTTAGTGTTTAATTTAAAAGGCTGAGGGGCACTTGGGTGGTTCAGTTGATTAAGCGTCCTAGTTTGGCTCAGGTCATGATCTCACAGGTCATGAGTTTGAGCCCTGCATTGGGCTCTGTGCTAACAGCTCAAAGCCTAGAGCCTGCTTCAGAGTCTGTATTTCCCTCTCCCTCTGCCCCTCAACTTCTCACACTCTGTCTCTCTCAAAAATAAGTAAACGTTAAAAAAATAATAATAATAAACATAAAAGGCTGAGAAAACAACTCCATCCTGAAATGTCACAGTGTAGTTCATGAGGAATGTTGGGGCAGGAGGGTGTGGAGATAGGAACCCAAGGACAGGGGGTGCTTCCATGAGGAAGAAATTAGAGCAAGACTCAAAAGGTCAGTAAGATTCGATGTTTGTAAAGCATAAATTCTAATGAAGAATAACCTTTCAGCATTGTGCAAAAATGTTAAGCAGGAGAGAAGTTTAACCATGATAGAATAGTGACAAAACAAAGAAATTTAATCAGAAATCCTTTAGAAATACTCAGTAACACATTTGGGGAAACTCACTTTGGAGTCACTTATGATTAAATGCCCAAAAAAGCAGTCTGCTAATTCTTGAACTACAAGGAGCAGCGTCAGCTTTGTGGCTTATGGCAGAACATTGTGTGTCTGTTACTCTGTGCAGATCAAAGGCTCTCCCAGTTGCTCTCAGATATGTATGTTTTGGCTAATTTCCATTCTGAAATAAGCTTGAGTTGATTCTTTTTGAAATGTAAACTACTGGTCTGTAACCTTTGTGGCAGGAAGAACGTGAAGAGGAGCTGAAAGACACTGAGGAGCGTCTGGAAGAAGTGGGAAGAGCTCTGAAGAACATGGACATGCTCCTCCAAGAGAAAGTAGCTGAGCTGAAGGAGCAGGTCAGTGATGGACATTTGTCATCACCACATGCACTTTCTGAACACAGAGAGCCCCCATGCTTGTTTGGAACCTGGGGCTCCATCTAAACTTTGAGAATCTGAATGTACAATTTTTTTTCAGAAGATTAACAGTTAAAAGCAATCAATAGAAAAACTGACTTTGTTAAATATATTCCCTACACTATATTTGTATACTGTGTATATTTTGTTTTGGGAACTGTTTTAAGGTACATTTGAGAGGTGTCACATAATCTCAGAAAGGACGTTCATTTATTCAGTCACTGGGCAGATACTTCCCAAGTACCTGTCGTGTATCACAGCATTCATTGTTCTAGAAAGACTGAGATGGGCCCTCCTGGACCTTAGGTTCTGGCAGTAGAGACAATAACAAGGTATATTACCTCAGATGATGAGAAATGTTCACTCTCAGGAAGAGGAGATGGATGGGATGTGGTGGGGATGGTTGGGGACCACTCTGAAGAGATGACATGGGAGCAGACACCAATGACAGCCATGGAAAGTCTGGCTCTGCCCCCCAGTGGAGGCCAGGTTGGCTTTTTGGAAGAGAAAAGTGCTGATGTGGTGGGACTGTCTTATGCAGTGTTGGGCTGAATGCCTGTAGCACCTCCAGTCAATGGGACAGTCATAAAAGGGCACCTGTATGTTTCCCTCTGTGCTAGGGGACATGCCAGAACCCCAAGCAGAAGGGGCATCCAGGAAAGGACCAGTGCAGGCACGTGTCCTTAAGATGAGACAAAGTGAAGCACGTTGGCAGGCTCCCAGGGAGACGGTTGTAGCTGCTGTTAGCTGATGGGTGGTTGCGGGTGGGCAGGAGACCCTCAATGGCAGGAGTCTCGATTTTATTTTATTTTATTATTTTTTTAATGTTTATTCTTGAGAGAGAGACAGAGAGACAGAGCACAAGTGGGAAAGGGGCACACAGAGAGAGGGAGACATGGAATCCAAAGCAGGCTCCAGGCTCTGAGCTGTCAGCACAGAGCTTGACTCAGGGCTCAGACTCACGAACCGCGAGATCATGCATGACCTGATCATGCATGACCTGATCATGCATGACCTGAGCTAAGTTGGACGCTTAACTGACCAAGCCACCCAGGCGCCCTAGGATTTTATTTTATCTCTATTGGCAGTTAGAAGCCATCTGAAGATTTTAAGCAAGAACATGATATGATCTCTATTTTTAAATAAATCAGTTTGGGGGAAAAAGGAAATATTTGGACTGCAATAGGGTATGAAGACCAAAAACAAAAAAAAACAAAAAAAAAAAGAAGAAGGCCATAGCTGTTCTGCTTGATGAAAGCCCGCAGTCGAATTTAGCCAGCATGGTCAGTCAGGAAGAACTGGTGCCTGGGCAGCCAGCACAGAGGGTGCTGGGAAGAGGAGGCAAGAGAATGAAGCAGGAGACCAAGAAAAGGCTCCGCCAAATGCTAGCTACTCCAGAACAGTTCCATTCAGAGCTAGAAGAAATTAAGTGTGAGAATCTGCAGAAACATTTTCGTTACAGTAATCAAGTATTTTTAGAGGGCTCCTGAACTGAGCCCAAACAGGATGAAACATCTGGGCCACCTCTTGTTCCCTGGGAGGCGGGAGGTCCCAGTGGGAGTCACACCCCCCTTCTTGACCACCCTCCTGGCTGCAGCTCCTTCCCTGCCATACACTGATTCCATAAGTGTCACAGACACTGAGCAACCCCTCTTTACCCTACAGTCATTCTCTTGCAGGAACCCACAGTTTGCTCCCTCTTGCCTGGCAGATCCTCAGTCCTGGTTAAATCCTGTGGCTCCTACACACCTGCCCCTGTGCAGGGAGGTTCTGTCCACAGCCCTGTGCCCACCTCACCCCACCTCAGAACCAGCTTGTGCTCCAGCCAGGTGAACCAGCCATCTGTGGCTATGCATGTGTCACTGCGCTCAGACCCTCCTTCTCCCAGGCTCTCACTGCTGCCTGAATCCAAAGCTAAAGGAGCCCTGGCCCAGTCTTTGCTCCTTTTTACCAAAATACCTGCAGAGGGTTGTCTGGACAGCCTCACCTGCCTTCTCTTGTGTTCACTCATGTCAGTGGCTGAAATCCAAAATGTTGGGGTTGTGGTGGATGCCCCCACAGTGTCCGCAGTGAACCCGCCAGCTCAGCCTTCAGAAGGGATGCAGAACCCAGCCTCTTCTTGCTCCCACACTCATCCTCTGTGCCCTACAGTGTTCTTGCTTCCTGCTGGGCTATGTTCTCAGTGCAGGAGTGGCAGCAATGCTTTCCCAAATGGTTGAGGTGCTACCTCCTCTACCTGGAACCCTCCAGGCCTCCCACAGCCCTCAGAGTACTAGGCAGAGTTCCTATAGAGGCCTCCAAGGCTCTACAGGATCTAGTTGCCCCCACCCCTCGGTGCCACCCAGCCAGCATGGCAGCTCTAATTTCCTTTCAGTGGGCCTTTCACCACCATGCCCCCTCACTCCAGGCCTCTGGCCATTCCAGCCACCCCCAGCCTGGCCAGGCTCTGGGCCTTTGCACCTGTTCCTTTCTATGCCTGGAATGTTCATGTCCAGACAGACTCAGTGCTCCTTCCCCTGCTTTGTTTCAGATCTCTGTTCAAATATCAACAGAGAAGCCCTCCCTGTTCACTACAACCAAAATAGGAACTCCCTCCTCAGCTGTCAGTCCCCTTGCAGTGAAACCAGTGATCAAAGGGTTAATAGAACTAGTAGGTGCAGCTCTAAGTTTTCACCTAGATCTTTTTTGTTTGCCTGTAAGCATCCTTTTTTTTCTTTTTTTTTTTTACAATTATTTATTTTTGAGAGACAGAGACAGAGCACAAGTAGGGGAGGGGCAGAGAGAATGAGACACAGAATCCAAAGCAGGCTCCAGGCTCTGAGCTGTCAGCACAGAGCCTGATGCGGGGCTCAAACTCACAAACCATTAGATCATGACCTGAGCTGAAGTCGGAAGCTTAACTGACTGAGCCACCCAGGAACTCCCTCCCCAACTCTTCTTGGGGGAGGCAGGTTAGAGTCTTGCCCTTCTGTCTCCATCTCATTTGGCTATCTCTCCTTGACACGTACTCCGTGCTCAGTGACTGTCTTTGCTGTGTTTCAGGCTGGCAGATTTGAATTCAGTTTTGCAGGGTTGTCTCTTAGCACTTGTCATGCCTCCACAGTACAGATTTGTTTCTGGCCTGTCCACTTCCATCAGAATATATGCTCCTGGGGCGCCTGGGTGGCTTAGTCGGTTAAGCGTCCGACTTTCACTTAGGTCATGATCTCGCGGTTCGTGGGTTCGAGCCCCGCGTCGGGCTCTGTGCTGACTGCCAGCTCAGAGCCTGGAGCCTGTTTCAGTCTGTGACTCCCTCTCTCTCTGACCCTCCCCTGCTCACGCTGTCTCTCTCTCTCTCCTAGAAATAAATAAAACATTAAAAAAAAAAAAAAAGAATATATGCTCCTGAGAGCAGGATCATTACACGGTATGCCTGGCGCTACTTGTTAAATGAATGACTGCAGTATTGACTTTTGAAGCCCAAGGCTGACCCTATGACTTCGTATCTTGAACAAGGACTCATAACTAGAGTGGCCTTGTGTCCCCCTCACCATGGCTATTGTGTGTAGTGAAAAAATTTTAAGCCTAGTGATTTTGATCTTTTTATATCTTCACTTCATGGTAAAATCGACTCTTACAATGTTGACTTATTTCCTCTTTCATGCCAGGGTTAATAAAAATTGTCATTATACCCAAAATTTGTATATGAGATGTGTAAGAATCCTGGAACAGTGTTCCACACACTTGGAAGAGTGGGAGGGGCAAGCTGTCTTGCAGCATTTCTGCACTACAGTCATAGTAAAATATGGTTTTTCTCTCCTCCCTAGTTTGAAAAGAATACAAAATCTGATTTGCTGCTCAAGGAGCTCTATGTGGAAAATGCTAACCTGACAAAGGCACTTCAGGTCACTGAAGAGAAGCTACGAGATGCTGAGAAGAAAAAACGCATCCTAGAAGAAAAAGTTAGAGCTCTCAACAGACTCATCAGTAAGATTGCTTTGGCTTCCCTCTCTGTGTGAAGATTGCTTCTTTTCCTGGAATTCATTTTGAAAGAATATCTTTTAAAATTAAGCCACCATGATGCCATAATATCCTAGGGTTCATTGGCCGTTCACCCTGGACATAGGTTTCTGATTCCTTGTTCATCTCACACATGTTTAAAAATGTCTACTGTGCCAGCAGCTCAGGAAATAGACATGCTGGAAAACACTACATTTTTATTAGTGGTCCTGGGTAATTTCTCTAGTAAAATTCTCAGTTTTGCTGTTCATTGGTGAAACAGATTATGGGGTGGAGGGGAGGCTGTCAGTGAAGTAAGACTGAAAGAAAAATGGTAAAACCAATCAATTTCAATTGTACTTTTGACCTTGGCTATAGAGAGTAAAATGAAAAATAAGGGCTCTGAACAGTTTTACCTTTTCACTGTTACTGCTTTGGGTTTAGATCATTATCATTCTCAAGCTGGGTCTGTACAAATATTCTAGAAAGACTTCTTTCTAAGACTGTCAACCCTGAGATCAAAGACTGTGGAGGGAAGCCCCCTCTTTGGGGACTGCTCTACTACAGGAAGATGCTTGGAAAGTGTTCATTTTAGGTCTGTGGACTCAGGGATGATGGTATGTATTGCGAATGTAATCTTTTCCTCATCGAAATGTCATCACACTGGAAATTGTATTATATATAAAGAAAAAAAGTATAGTTTTATATCCAAAATATACATAAGTTATGGTTATTTGGTTTATGAGAGTAAAATACTGTACAATGAAGAGTCATTGTATTTACAGAAACTTTTCTATTAAAATTGTTTTAACTTCTAAGTTTAATTTTTATTAAATATTTGAAATAGAAAAATAGTTTTATAAGAAATACTCCTGTTCCCATCAACTAGATGTATTAGAATCCTTCTGCTACATTTAGCTACAGCCCCTGTTCTGTTGCCGTCAACCTCCTTCTCCTTTCTGGAGCCAGTCGTTACCCTGAAGCTGCTGCGCCCCGTCCCCTTCTGTCTGTACATTTACTCTACATGCTTGTGTAAGAAGAACCTTAAAGCACTATGGAAAGACACAAAAGACTGGAATAGGGGTGCCTGGCTGGCTCAGTTGGCAGAGCATATGACTGTTTATTTAGGGATTCTGAGTTCAAGGTCCACATTGTTCATGGAGCCCATTTAAAAAGACCAGAATAGATGGAAAGATCAGTTCTTGGATAGGGAGACCCAACAACATAAAGTTGGTTCTTCTAAATTAACTGATTAATGTAATATAGCCCCAATAAAAACACAAGTGGGTGTTCCCTTCCCAGTCAACCCCTTGACCCAGAGTTGGACAGTTCTAAAGTTTACATATACAGCTAGATAAGCAAATAAAATAATATGGAAAATTAAAAAAAGAAGATTAATGAATGGGAACTACTTCTAGTTGTTAAAATAGTGTCAATATAGTTTGGGTTACGTGGTTGTATGCATTTGTCAAAACTCATCAAAGGGCACAGTTCTTCATTCACTGTGGACTTCTGACTGGGACTGGAGTAACGAGAAGATTGGATCTAGTTGGCATGAACAACACTATCAAACAATTGACATTTATAGACCCCAGTAACAGCAGAAGTGCACCTAGAACATTTTGCAAGATAGACCATACTGTGGACCTTGCAACAAGTCACAAAACAATTAAAAGAATTTAAGTATTTTCTCTGACCACAATGGAATTAAATTAGGAATGAAAGCCAGAATGATATCTGGGAAATCATTCAATATTTAGAAATAATAATACACTATTAAATAACCCATGAACTGAATAAGAAATCAGAGGAGAAATTAGAAGATATTTTGAAATGAAATGAAATGAAAATACAACTTATCAAATTTGTGGGGTGGAGCTAAAGCATTGCTTAGTGGAAAATTCATAGTCTTAAATTCTTGTATTAGAAAAAAAGGTCTCAGGGCGCCTGGGTGTCTTAGTCGGTTAAGCGTCCGACTTTCGCTTAGGTCATTATCTCGCGGTTCGTGGGTTCGAGCCCCGCGTCGGGCTCTGTGATGACTGCCAGCTAAGAGCCTGGAGCCTGTTTCAGAGTCTGTGACTCCCTCTCTTTCTGACCCTCCCCTGCTCACGCTGTGTGTGTGTGTCTCTCTCTCTCCCCTAGAAATAAAAAAAAGAAAAAAAAATCTGTATCTCTTTCCTCTACATCCTGAAAAATTAATACATATCATTATAGATATCATTTTTTAAAAAGTTACATGACTAAGACAAAAAAGGGAAAGAAAGCAGATATATTAGGAATGACCATATGTACAGAAAAGTAAAAATTCAATATACTTCAAAATACACGTTAAAATAGATTCGGAAAAATAAAATTAACTAAAATTTACTCAAGAAAAAGTCAACACTTTGACTAAAAATTAAAGAAAAAGTAAAAATTTATCAAAGATCAACAGCTCTCCCCCAAAGATTCATAGCCAAATTGTTCTATAAGTATTTAAGCTATTTTAAAGATTACATTTCTGTTTTTCAAAGGCAAAGGAATGAGCACGGACTTATTTGAGACACAGAACATTAACACCAAATCTGGCTGTGGTGGCCACCCCGTACTCCTATATTTGTGGGGTTCACGGTGCCTTTGCTGCATCTGGGCGGCCTATGGCTGCACTGACTTGTGGGCTGTGACAGAAGCAGTGCTCGTTCAGTACCAGGCCTGGCATTTCAGAAAAGAGCAGCACTCACTTCCAATGTCTTAACACTATGGGAGTCCTGAGATGCCAGGTAAGCAGCCCAGCCACCTTACTGCAGACCATGGAGAGATGGGGAGCCAGCATCTGAGTGCAACTGTGTGTAGAACCTAAGCACCTAAGCAGGATCTACAGAATGACCCAGCTGAGTCCCATCAACCCACAGAATCATGAGAGCTAGTAAACTGGTGTGGCTTAAAGCCACTATGTGTTGATGGTTTGTTTCATAGAGACAGATAATTAGCACTACTGAAAAAGCACAGATAGACACATGCATGTGTACACATTCCCCTGGTCCAAAGCACTATAAACCAACATTACTCACAGTTGGGAAATTCCGCAATGAACAAGCAACAAGTCATATCTTTCAGTTCCCTGATAACCTGAGAGGTGAACACACCACAGTCAAGAAGAATATAGCTCATAAAGTCATGAATAGACACTTCTCCAAGAAGACATCCAGATGGTCAACAGATACATGAAATGATGCTCAACATCACTCATCATCAGGGAAATAAAATCAAAACCACAATGAGATATCACCTCACACCCATCAGAATAGCTAACCTTAACTCAGGCAACAGCAGATGTTGGCGAGGATGTGGAGAAAGAGGATCTCTTTTGCACTGCTGGTGGGAATAAAAACTGGGGAAACCATGCTGGAAAACAGTATGGAGGTTCCTCAAAATATTAAAAATAGAACTACCCTATGACCCAGCAGTTGCACTGCTAAGTATTTATGCAAGGCATATAGGTATGCTGTTTTGAAGGGGCACATGCACCCCAATGTTTATAGCAGCACTATCAACAATAACCAAAGTATGGAAAGAGCTCAAATGTCTATTGACAGATGAGTGGATGAAGAAGATGCGGTATATATATACAATGGAGTATTACTCAGCAATCAATATAATGAAATCTTGCCATTTGCAACTACATGGATAGAACTAGAGGATATTATGCTAAGTGAAATTAGAGAAGGACAAATATATGACTTCACACATATGAGGACTTTAGGATACAAAACAGATGAACATAAGGGGAGAGAGCCAAAAGAATATAAAAATAGGGAGGGAGGGAGGGGGCAAGATGGAGGAGAAGTAAGGAGCTCCGTACTTTCACTCGCACCCATACATCACACAGAAAAGATCTGAAGCCATTGGAAACCTTACAAAACCTGAGAGATTGGGAGAAAAAGGACGCAGAATCCACTGAGAGAGC